AGCTTTATGTAAGGAGTCCCATTCCTTATTGTCGTCGGAGCTAAGTAAATGAAACCATACCTGGGCTGGTCCAGATAAATGCATATGGAATGCGGCAATTTTGCGAGCCGGTGTCGGGTCCAGATAAAGCCCATTAAAAGTAATATAACTGTAAAATTCAGAGATGAATTTCTCACCGTCCTCGTGGGAATAACCGGAACATTTTCTGAGTGAGACCTTGTCTGTGGACATAGCAGGGATAACTATCACAGCCGCCTGATCATGGGAAGACTTAGGTTGTCTGTCAGCTTGACGATCGTAATTCCCGCCTCTTTCCGATGAATCCTCAGTGTGACGCCTGGGGGAATAATTCAGTGTAGGAGCACTAGGCTGTGTAAGTGTGGGGCTGCCCGTAAAGTCAACATTGGTAATATAATCCCCTAACAACAGGAAAGATCCAGGGGCCTGGTCCTGCATTGTATCATGGAAAACCACATGGCCGCGCTCAGAACGGTTCAGTTACAGAATGTTATTGCATAAGTTCATGTGGGTACCAGTCGTAATGATAAATGTCTCGCATACACATTGTACCTTTACAACAGCTCCAAGACATATATCAACGGTCCTTAGGATTTTCCACCATGTAGCAATCAGACAAATTAAACATAGTATTTTCAGCGGCATGCATCAATTTTATTGTTTTTCCAGAAGACTTACATACAAGGCAAATTATTACATAGTATCCGGATTTGTGGAATTTAGAAAATGGCTGTACAAAATATCCGGAATTTTATATTGTCAAATGTACAGTTTTCAGACAGCTTATTTAATTAATTATTTAATTAATCAGTATTTCAACTATTTATGTATTTTCCATGTTTGTTTAAACAGGAATACAACAACAGGGACAATTCTTACGCCCTACCTGCAGGGACCTGACAAAAAAGGGTAAATCTTTATGACGAAGAAGATTCTCTCAGTTTGGTATAAATAATAAAGGCTTGGTTTGTTTTTCACACAAACAGGAATAGATCATTTATTTTGCGAGCTTTCGAAAACGTCTGCTTCCTTAATAGTGTAAAGGAGTGCCCGCTGTGGCTCAGAGAGTTGTTTTCGTCAGTTTAGAGTTGAGACACCGATCAGTTGCACTCTTTGACCAAGGAAGCAGTTATCAATTCCTGTTTATGAATTACCTAACCTTTATTATGACGAAGAACTATCAAAATACTTTATCAAGGGAGAGTACCACGTGGGGGTTATTTCGGGGTTCTACTGAGTGGATATTGTCATTGGGTAGTATCTAGTGAATGTATCATAGGATGGTGCAGTATCATTTATAGTTGACACATTTACCTTAATTGCTGAATGGATCAATTACAAAACGATATCTACTCTTTCTTGCATACTAGACCGAGAAATCCGCATTTCCGGCGGTGCTGGATTTTTTTACTATTTGTTGTCATTGTGAATTCGGCCTCTGGGAATATTGTTCAGACCAGGTTCGTAAATCAGGAATAGACCTCACCTGAAGTCCATAATTGTATATTATTATATGACTGGTGCTAATTCCCAGCCCTGATTGGAGAAGCGACGTCACGTGACGAGTCAGTAAATATGTTACAAACCTCGTTCTATAAATAGAAAAGTGTTACAGACCTCAACCGATACATAGAAAAGTGTTGCAGACCGCTACTAAAAATAGGCCAAGGTAATTTCCCAGTCAGTCTGTAATTCTGTTACCAATCACACTACTGAATTCATCTACAAATGAATCATCTCATCAAATTCCGAACTATGTGAATATTGATGATGTCGATTGTGCAAATAATATTTACTTGAAATTAAATATCACATGAACTGAATCTGAAATTCAATTTTTGTGTATGTTATTTTGTATTTGAAGTCCTTCACTCTGTGATTCCAAAATGGCCCATGCCATCCATTTGTTTACGACATAAAAAATGTTTAATCTCATTGTAAAATGTCATATAATAAAACAATTGTGGACTTCAGTTTCGGTCTATCCCTGATTTACGAACCTGGTCTGAACAATAATCAGCGGCCTTAGACCTCACCTGAAGTCCATAATTGTATAATCCGACCCATGGGTCTAGATTGCTGACACGCGCAGACTGGCGGGGGATTTATAGTGACCTTTCGGGGTCACGCTTTTGTTCGTGACGTCATTTTATGACGTTTTGGGGTCAGTCAGGGTCATGACGTCATTCACAATTGCCCGGGTGTAAGAGTTTGGCTGGTCAGCACGAGGCTTGCCGAGTGCTTGCCAGCCAAACTCTCACACGAGGGTTGAGATATCCCTGTCCACGGATCAGACCCATGTAAGATTCTAATATTCTCTTACCCTGGATAGGTGTATCCACACTTTTATCGGTGTGAGATATCATTGTCTCACCCTAGAGTTCAGACGAAGGGATTCCCCTATTCATAATCGAACAACGGTATGACGTTTCACGTCAACAATCCATCAACGTCACGTCAACCCTGAATTTAGCCTGTAACGTTAACATTACATTATGTATATGATACACAATGGGTGAACAGGTTAAAAGAAAAAGAATCAAAATGCACCCCCTTGAGGGTGAGGTAGGGGAATCTCAACCCAAGGGGGAAGATTCTTAAATTGCCAAACTCGAGGCGTTAGTATTTCGCTCCACATATCTTTAATTTGTCATGAAACACAATCGTTAGCTTTCCTGATCTCATTGGTAACATTTTCTCATGATGGATTCTTTTGCTGTTATGATTAATTATCATCTGTCTATATGGAAGGTGTATCGATGTCAGCTATATATCGCCATGAGTTTATAATAGAAAATTATCGAGTTGAGTTTTTCTCATCTAAAGCAACGTCATTAATGAACGTCAGTTGTGCACAGTTATTTTCAAATATCTTTGTAGTCAACTAAACGAAGGGACATAACTCGTATATACTTATTAGTTTAGTTTTAATGTGTTAAAGATTTGTGTTTCCGTCATTACTCTAATACTACGATTTGAACAATCACCAATCTTTATTTGTGGTACATATAGGGAAGTACTTAAGCAATTTATAAAATGTATTTACACATGTATTAACATTACAAAAATATACAAAATTAACATCCGGGCCGACAAGAGTGATCAATATAAGTTGAAATAACTTGTTAAATAGTTGTTTGAAAATAATCTCATATCAATTTACACAATAATGTAGAAAATCAAAGTTACTGTTGTCGTTGAGATAATACTAGAACGACGATAAAGCGACAAGAATAATTTCATACAGTCGCTTTAATTGTAAAATGCAGGCTAAGCTTCAAAAGCTAAACGTTGAAAATGATACGACCAATATTAACTGCTTCATCCGACGTAAACCTGACTGGAATGATACTTACACAACCTGACTGGAATGATACTTACACAACCTGACTGGAATGATACTTACACAACCTGACTGGAATGATACTTACACAACCTGACTGGAATGATACTTACACAACCTGACTGGAATGATACTTACACAACCTGACTGGAATGATACTTACACAACCTGACTGGAATGATACTTACACAACCTGACTGGAATGATACTTACACAACCTGACTGGAATGATACTTACACAACCTGACTGGAATGATACTTACACAACCTGACTGGAATGATACTTACACAACCTGACTGGAATGATACTTACACAACCTGACTGGAATGATACTTACACAACCTGACTGGAATGATACTTACACAACCTGACTGGAATGATACTTACACAACCTGACTGGAATGATACTTACACAACCTGACTGGAATGATACTTACACAACCTGACTGGAATGATACTTACACAACCTGACTGGAATGATACTTACACAACCTGACTGGAATGATACTTACACAACCTGACTGGAATGATACTTACACAACCTGACTGGAATGATACTTACACAACCTGACTGGAATGATACTTACACAACCTGACTGGAATGATACTTACACAAAGTCTTATGATCATAGTGTAATCATGGTAACGGTTCCAAACGAGCACGGATTCCTGTAAGTTCTAACCATAAATACGTTGAGGTCGTAAAGCTACAACAATATATACAAAGACGGGTAAAATGAAAAGATAATATAACCAAACAGCAGAACATACATTTGCCTCAAAACATGTTCAGTGATAATTGGGAACGAGATATTTAAGTCACGGACACAACCAGATTTTGGGGATTTCATAATATCTTTATATAATGTGGGACTAATACAATTTTTGAAAATGACAATCAAGACTCACTTGAAAACTCTTACAGACTCACTATTATAACATTTTTTCCCGCGAGATTTCCTGTATGTACTAGGTATATAATTATAACTTATGAAACTATACGATAACGATACTAAAACAGAAAAAAAAATCTTACAAGAATTGACAGTGTTTGTTTTACAAACATATTCTAATGTATTTAAAAACACGGATAAAGTTATAAAAGTTAAGGAAGTCGTGCGTTTTCTTGAGAGACGTGTATCTCAATTGCCATTTTTTTGTATAGCGAACATTGTAAGTATTGTACAAGCTGTACAATGTATTCAACGCACGTACTTGTGTATTTTTATCTGATTCAATAAACATTTTTAAGATACTTATTCTTTAACTTTGAACGTATACTCGTATATAATAACATACATATTTAACTATTTTTACATATCACACATCGGTAAATGCAGCTCAACTTGTTTCGATAGATTCCAGCAAGGGTGGATAAAAATAACCAGCAGCGATCGAAACACCTGTTTGATTGGTAAGCCAATGCTGCCAATCTTTTTGATCTAGTTTCATGCTGTTCCTGCTAATGTTGTCATTGTGTGTTGACGTTGTTGGATTGTTTTGTCATTCCATGTTCGCGCTGTACTGTATTTTATCATTGTGTTGATGATTTCTATATCAATTTGGATGGTTAGTACTGCTATCGGGTTTTGCTATTAGAAGTAAGTATTTAAAACATAATTTAAGAAGCCATATTTATTCACTTGCAAAGTATTTATTTCAAACCCTGTTACTGAATGGATATTTTACAGATCTAATTGGCAAACAAAATTCCTACGTTCCTCACAGTTGTCGTCTGACCAGGTGTAGTTCCTGTGGAGGTCAACCAGTGCACAGTGTTCCCGGTTCTGCGCATTGTCAGGTTCGTTTGGCCCCCAGTTGGTGTAGGTTAGACTGCCCTGCTGAGGAAGCCACATCCACTCCCCCTCCACGGCAAGGTCCGAGAGTCCGAGCCAGAACTGACCAGGCCAGTAGTTACCTACAGGAAGAGGAGTATATAGTGTATATAAACAATGACTGTTTCTCATCTTTTGCTAACGATATGTGTCACGACATCATGTTCACATTGGTAAATGTCTGCATCAACAGGAATCTCTCGAAACCTTGTTTGGTTAGCTTAAGTAATTACTAGAAACACGAAGCAAGGGAGCACCTATGTAAAACGTCTACAAGTCGAGGTAGAAATCCAATATAAACATTATACTACACCATATGACCATTTTGCCTATTAAGGACATAGGAGTGGTGCTGACGGTCTACTGATTGTACAGTCTAAGAGTCTGAAGTGTTCCTAAATATATGCAGCATATATCAAATGAGGCAAGCTACCATCAAAGTATGACAATATTAGTTAGATATTTGCTGATAAAAGAAAAAGACTATGACATCTATTTCTTGTTCTAAGATTTGTCTGCCAATGTCTGTTCAATTGTATGTCGTATGATGGATTAGCATGTGGGTACATGTATTTTTATATATGTGAAACGCATTACAATATTTGTAGTAAAACAGTTCTACCGGTCTTGTTCTGTGCTTATTTGGGGATTTGTTCAGACAAAAAGACGATTATTAGATAATCAAACAAGCACACAAACAAACAATGATACCAGAAGAAACTTGATCAGAGTAAACAGAGTAACTAACCAACTGTAATCTGCCAGTCTCCACTGGAACCGAAACCAGTGGCTACTGCAACATAATTGACGTCATGGGGGGAGGTATCGTTCCACATCATAAACTGACTCTTCCCTACGATGTCCCCCTGTCCGACACGGATAATATTATTTGCCCAGCTAATCCAAAATGGCCGATATTGAGTGCACGAGAGGGGGTGTGGCATGTGGTTCTCGACGTCCATTTGTGCACATTGTTTACAGTCTCGTATGACTGACTGTTGGTCGCCCCATCCTCCAATCACGATCTCGTACGTGTTTTTCGTGTCGACGCCCTTGTCCTGTGATAGGGCGATGTGAGCGTCGTGACACGCCTTCACTTGGAAGGTAAATGATGTGTGTCCGGTCACGTCCAGTCCCGAGTCGTGCAGGTAGTGATAGTGATAATCGTTTCTCGTACTAAACTGGAAACTCGACTCTGAGGGGGAAACCGACAGCAACATAACGTTATATACATATTCGATACAGAGATTGGATGTTGTCCAGATAAGTTGGGATAGTTTAACTCCTTTGCAGTTGTGACACATTTTGATGATTTATTTTTATAATAAACATCTAACGTTAAAAATGCAGCATTATTAAAATGACATGTTGGATGTTTTCCTGAAATTTTACAAAACACATCACCACGAAAACAAGCCATTTTTCGATTAAAATATAATTATCTCTTAATTTCAAATCAATGTTTTGCCTATATATATACATTATCAGTATATTGCTATTAATCATCTCGCAATTTAAATATACAGTATCAGGATATTGGTATTATCACGTGATTTAAATAGACGGTATCAGGATATTGGTATTATCACGTAATTTAAATAGACAGTATCAGGATATTGGTATTATCACGTAATTTAAATATACAGTATCAGGATATTTGTATTGTCACGTAATTTAAATAGACAGTGTCAGGATATTGGTATTATCACGTAGTTTAAATAGACCGTATCATGATATTGGTATTATCACGTAATTTATATAGACAGTATCAGGATATTGGTATTATCACGTGATTTAAATAGACAGTATCAGGATATTGGTATTATCACGTAATTTA